ACTTCATCTGGTTATCCTTATGGCATCTAAGTGCATGTCTGCCATATACCTGCATACAGTTACTTTGACAACTACTTGTGATTATGGCACATATTAAACTGCTATACAGACAAAGATAGCTATCAAACTTAATATGACATCTCAAATGCTAGGAGTACTGTCTTCTGTAAATTATACCCATATGTTCCATTCACATGTTTTACCTGGTTTTGTTTCTTCTGCCTTCTAATCTAACTATATCTAGTATTATCTTGTTTCTCACATTTTTCATCACTGTACTACTTTTAAATTAGTTCTATTCAGGTATGTCTAATCTTTATGATCTTCATATCTTTGGTATACTTGTTATTAATTCCTCTAAGATGATCTAACAATAATTCAGAATCTGCAATAAACCCATATCTCAAGCCAGATCTGCTGCTATCATTAGTCTTTTTGACCAATTTGTATCTTAAATCAAATCTGTTACCACTATTTTTGTAGATATCTCAGATCTTAACATTATACAGTAACTCGATACTGCATTTAATCTCCAACATGATGTTTCTTTTTATGGTAGAGACTGAGACTTGTTGCACTTACAAACAGGACAATTCTGATTATATCTAAAGAGTTTCTCTAACTCTAGTAATACCATCTATTATATATTGCAAGCTCTCAGCTTATTCAACAATACCTGCAAGACAATTCTAGTTATACCCAAGGAGTTACACTAGTCTCAGTAATGCTATACTACCTTGCAGATCTTATCTCATATTAGTTGGTTGATCTCTAGTCTTGTTTGTTATAAACTTCCATATAGGTATAATCAGAACCTGATTTGGTATTTTTATATTGCACAAAGAAGTTATATGCTTATTTCCAAAATCTTCTCTTTTATAATTAGATTATTTAACTATATCAGAAATGCTTCTAATTTTAGTTAGACCAATCCTTTATTATAGTCCATTCTTGTGTTTTTTTATCATTCTAGTCTTAGTTTCAAATTACTTTCCCAATTAAATCCTCTTCTTGGATCCCAATTAAGACTTATTTGCATAATCTGTTAATTATTCTTCCAAGCAAGTACTCCACAAGTTGGATACAGGGATGTTGGTACTGCCTATATTAGGAAGTATAAGGATGTTAGTGTTATCCTAATCTAAAGGACTTATATGTGCAATCCTTCCATGACTATAACCTTCTGTAACAACTGCTTGTTATGCATAGTGCCTCTACATCACGATTGGGTCTTCTTCTGAGAATTTCTATTTCCATTATTGTACTGCACTTGAACTTTTAACCACAGAGCTTTACATTCAATTACAAACTTCTTATTAGATTACAGAAGCTAAAATCTTTCAATTTTGCCTCTAGCCAGACTTGAACTATTGACTTTGACTGTGAAGGATATGAAAGCTTAACCGCTAAGCTATAAGACCTACACCCACAATATTATTACTTTAAAATTCTCTAATAATCTATTATTGTTATTTATCTTTATAAAACATATTATATTAGTTTTATTTTTTGATCTTATAAAATTTCTTATTTTACATTTCTTAACTTTTTTTATCTAATTTTTAAAAACAACAATCAGATATATTTTTTACCAGATCCTATATTAACTAAAATTATTATACACTTTTAATATTATTATATATGTATATAAAATCTTAATTAAATATTCAATAAAGATAGAAGCATGGCCTCATTATTAATATTAAAAAAAAAAACATTATTATATATGCCTTATATGCAAAATTAAAAATATCTCTTATATTACTACAGAACAAAGTAATCATGTTCTAGGTTATAAAATTTGTATATAATCTTTAAAAACTACTTAAATCTTTTATACAAACTTCTTCTCTTATACTTCAACAACAAATAATTACAACTATAATCAAATATAAACTAATTAGTCTAAATATTCAACCTTATTCTCTTACTCTTAAACAACAAATTATTTTTGCTCATATCAAAATTTGACAAATGAAAACTAATAAAAAAATCCAACCTTTTGTTTTTCTTTTTTCAAAAAAATCCTAATAACAAAAACAAAAGAAAAAGAAAACTAACAAAACACTAGCAATGACCTTGATTAGTTCAAAGAATACCTAGTAACTGATTCTATGAAGCATAACACTAAACCAACAATCCTATCGCACAACTATTCAATTTTATTAAACTACACCTTATTGACATCTACTCAGAGATAATATAGTTATTATATGAATATCCGGTATAACTAATTAAACACGGGTTTATATCCAAACCACGTGGCCTTCGACCACATAGCTTGAATATAAACCCGTGTGTAATTAGTTATTCATACAATAACTATAACTTATTACCATAATTTGATTAATAAGGCCACGTCTGGTTTTTGGTGTTAGAGGTGTTAATGATTCTATTTCAATCAAGTCTTTTCTTAGTCCTATTCATTCCTAGGACTGTTTAAGATTTAACGGCACAAACTTTATCCTGAATTCATGATAAAGGATTGGTCTGGAGCCAGTCTTTATAACTTAGAATAAAGATCTACATTTAGGTCATTCTGTGACTACAATCTGGATCGTGGTCTTGTAATTGGTTTTGGATCAAAATTTGAGATAACAGTCTGGGTCATGGTTTTTATTTTATTTATTTATAGTCTAAAACTAGATTGAATGAGATCGGTTTATCGGAACCAGAATAAAATGGACCAGATTGGACTAGACTGGATAACACCTAACGCTAAATTTTAGGGCTTAAGTATCATGACAAACTAGACCGGAACCAGAATAAAATGGGCCAGACCGGGCTGTTAACATTCCTAACGTTCTAGACCTCTGGTCCTATATTAAAATAAAGACTGATGATTCAGACCATAACTGCATTAGGACTTCTCAGAACAAGGAATGTTAACAGTCTGATATGTCCAGTCTGGTTCGTCTTGATCTGGTTTATTATGTACAGTCTTGCTAATCCAGACCGGTTCAGACTGGTCTGGTCTTAAGACTGAGAGCATCTACAGTCTTAAGATTTTGTTAGTCCAGACCAGTTCAGATTGGTCTGGTCTTAAGACTAAGAGCAGACCAATTTTTTCAAATCCAGACTGGTCTTAAGACCAACTGTAGTCCATTAGTCTAAGGCCAGACCACATAACATTCCTAAATGATAGTAAGGTTTAAATCTAGGGTATGGAATTGGGTAGCCCGTACGATTTAGGTCTATAAAAATAGTGTTTCACCATTGGTGCATAATCCGAAACCAGTATAAACTCACTTTCGACAGACAAGCTTTATTTGTATCTTCAACGTGCCTGCTACCAGTAGCAGGTCTTTAAAAATCAGGTGAATCAGGCTCAGGCTCCGAACTAGCTCGACTTTAAAGACCTGCTACTGACAGCATGTGACGTGAAAGTGCAAATAAAGCCTGTCTGTTGAAAGTATGGCTTATATGGCGTGACAAATAATATTTACTATATATACTACAGCCAGACTCCCTAAACACACCCTCTCTAAATGCAGCACCCCTAAATACATGATATAAACCAGGCCCATGGTGGGTCTTACAGATAAATGCACGTTCTTTATTGGCTTACTTATAAAAACTATCTCCATAAATACATTTACGTAATTACTAGCCAATCATAAAGCCATATTTATCATATGATAATAGCTTTATTGCAAACCTCCCGGTCCTGACAATGTACATTTAGGGAGGTCTGACTGTATATAGCACACCCAAACGCTAAATGAAAGATGTCACCTATAATAGATTTAAACCGATGGTAATAAGGTAGTCTGATAAACCATAATAAACAGATCATGGCCAGACAAACGGGCTGTTAACATCCTTAGTAGAAATTTGACAGCTAGCACCAACGGACGCAAGAACAGTGTACGGAATTATCACATTTCACAGTGCATGAAGTGTGATTCAACTGGGATGCCGTAGTAAAAAGAAAATTCTTTAGTGTATATAGATGTACCTCGCATTCTATCATCACCTTTTGTGCTATTTGCGCATATGTGTACAGCATAGTTTTCTTGACGTTAGACACATTAAAGCTACATCAATGCAAAGATCTAGATTATTATTATTATTAATTATTTGACATATTGTTGATGCCTGTTCTAATTAAAGAGCTTATTTGAACTTTTAAAGGATTTCTTCTGCAATGCCTCCAACTTGTGGTCAACATCAATGATTAATTAACGTTAATAAAATGTTAATATTTAGAACGCACACGTGAGTAGCAATAGAAATTAACGACTTATCGATTACTGGTTGGAATTTCATTTAACCTACTTTTATATGAATGCTTGAATAGTGAATAACACATCACTTTTGTGACACTCGGTACATAAATTTAGTACGAATCAGGCAATGCGTAGAATTTAGGAACCATTCTTACTACGTATTCATACTTATTTATTCAATTCCAAGATCAAATTTCCGATTTTGTAGAAATAGGAATATATAAACAAATTCTCTTACACAAAATTAAATTATGAAAACATGTGACTAAAATCCATTAATTCTTCAAATATTCGAGAAATGTCTGTTTCTTTTAAATGAATATATCCATGTGCATGCCAAATGAGGCATAAATGTCGTACGTGAGTGTACCCAATAATAAGTTCAAGGAATTTAAAGTTTCTTTAATTCTTTCATTGTCACGCAATGCAATAGTTGTGAACAATTCAATTGAATTACCTTTTCCTATAATACAATTGTCTAATCTCTAATATGATAATTGAAAAGATTTCATTCATGCATCAAATAAAGAACCCTGCAATCCGTATTTTGGCTTTAATTCTTTAATATTTTTGTAACTTTACCTAAATGGTGGACAAATGCCTTCTAAGAATCTGCGAAAATTTTGCACGATAAATAATTTGTGATTTATTGCCTGGAATAGACGTGCTATATATAAAGGGTACAGAGAGGATTCTTTGCCTCTGCATTTGTCAAGGTTTCTTTTTGGCATTCGAATTGCGCTAAAGGGTTTTTAAAAATCGAACAATAAAATGGTTGATCAGATTCAAGAACAAAATTACATTAGTTCAGTCCATCTTATTGAAGAATATCCTCGCATTAACTCTCAAAGTCAGGCATTTCAACCGACTTGGTGTCCTTTGCACGACTTATGTCAGCCAAGTTATATGCATCAACAAACTCAATATTCGCATTCGCACAACGCATATCAAAGATCACTAAATCACTCTCAAAAACACCGCATTAAACAACGGATCAACCAGCGTAAGCGTTCTCGACCTCGACAAAGTCCAAATTCCAATCGCTCTAATAGAACATCTGATTCGGTATCACAGGTACAGTTGTCTACCACTTACACACTACCAATGGATGTTCCGTTTATGGTTGACTACTTACAAAAAACAAATTATCATGAAAATCCAACATTTTTCTTACATGAAATTGGACACGATTTGAATGTTCAATCGTTATTTCATCCGCAAAATACAAATAATTTTATGATTAATAACGATAATAATGATCAATCTTTTTATGAGAATCAGCCTTTGCTTGATTTGAATTCAATTTTTCCACCTGATATGTCAGGTCATAACCAGATTAGTATGCCATCAAATATTGACCTTTATCTGATGGAAAATCAATTTAATCCTGCAACTACCTTGGATTATGTTCAGAACAATGACTATGTCGATACTATTCCTATGAACATTAACACCTCTTCAGATTTCTTATTATATCCACCCAACCATGATGTTTTTCCTGACGCACCAATCACTGCCTCATCGCAAATCGCTTTACCTGATTATCAATTAACACATTTCCTTAATAAAGCACCACTTACTAATGATGTGCAATCTTTTAATTATGAATCATCTCATTAGAATATTGGACATTTTTGTCTAATGCAAGGCTTTTAGTCATATCTCTTCGTCGTTGGTGTTCATATAGACTATATAACTTAAGCCATTATGTTTTAATGATTTCTTTAAAATGCATGTTCTATTTTTACTAGAGATTGTATTTGTTGTCAAAAATATATAATTATCGGGGCAACCGGGTAATTTTAATAATATTGGGATTTTCTCAACAGATACAAATTCTAATTTCGAATTTTTACCGTAAGCATGGCTTCCTTTGTCATTTTTGTTTGTTAAATTTGAAAAATGTATTTTTACTTCCTTTTATTGTTACTATTATTATTAGTCGTATTTATAAATAACCTGAAATAGTATAGAAAACACTATTACGTATTGCAATGATTTTGTATGATTATTTTTTATTTAAAATGCAATAAATTTTTTTTTAAAATCATCAATATCAAAAATTAGAGTTAATAAATTCCCCAATATATAGGGTCTGTGCCTTTAAAATGACGTTATGAAACATAGTAATTACTATGTCCTATAACGTCATTTTAAAGGCACAGACCCCATATATTATAAATATACTGATTTTTTAAAAATTCTGGGTTTATTTAATTATTCTGTTTAATGCATTACTACAAACTCATCTCCAAATATTAACTTTTTAACCTATAGTGTATGTTGTTACTAATCAATGCAATATAAAGTATATATATATATTTAATACACCTCTATAGAAATAAACGGGTATCGATATGGAATATAATATGCGCGCAGTAAAACAATTATAAACAGAAGCAATTCTTCTTTAAATTAAAATTTCGAAACCTGTAAAAACTTATTAAAGCAAAAGTCAATCCTTTAAATACACATTTCCCTTCATGTAGCTACTGCGACTGTTATCTTTTCAACCTTTATTTAATTGATGACGATCGAACAAGTTTTCAACCTGTTATGTGCATGTATAAATTTACTAAACTGGGAAAATAAACAAATAAAGAGAAAAGAATAAGAATCAGATGTCACGGGAAAACCGTAACAATAATGAGTCAATCATATATAATAAAGAAGTATGCGTGGATTTTATATTTTAAATAAGTTCATTATTATTATAAGAGGGTTCTGCATGAGATAACATTGAAGACTCTTTACTGTTATCGCTTGAGTTTTTTTTATCGCGTTGATGTTAATCTGAAGAATCTTAATATAATTTGTACCACAATATATTAGATGCGCGTTATTTCGGGACGCTATTTCGAGATCAAATGTACTATTTTTAAATGTCTGAATTTTAAATAATGTCATTATTATGTTGCAGCCGATTGTTAAAAATACTTTAGATCCTCTTGATAATCTTTCAAAATATGAAAACGAAGAGAATGAATCAAGATTACTGGGATTAAAAGGATTATTTTTTTACATTATCAAGCTCTGATTGATATTATAGAAGGTATGTCCCTTAGGTAAACAATATTCGAAATACATTTCGATGTTATAACATAATACTGTATGCGTAAGGTCGTATACGGCAGTATAAATCATAATTGAATTATTATATTTCATACCAGTGATTATTAATAACCATAATAATTTTCTATAACCTTAGTGCAGTTTTTGAATAAAATAAGGGTTTATAAAGCATAATAGAGGTTGGATTAAAATCCCAAATGTTAGTTCGCATAAGGTTTTCGGGGGTCCTGAACATTTTTACTTAGTAATCCGAATTTGGTTACTTAGTGAATTTTTGAGATATAGCACTCTGGTTATCAATAACCACTGGCGCAAATTAAAAATATCCTAATAATTCATTTCTCGGAATGTTCATTCTTTAAAGTTAGGATTTAGGATTTAACAGCTAGTTTGGCCTATTTGTTATGGTTTATAGGTTTATAGCTTAAGACTTAGTCCAAACATCTGTATTGTTTGGTCTTTAAGGTCAAGTCTAGACCAATTTATTTCAAATTGTGGTTTATCAGACTCCATAATCTTCCTAACCAGAGTGCTAGTATAATTTTTTGTTTCGTATAGGGTAAGAATGGTAAGAATAAAGTTATGGGTGATAAAAGCTCTTTGCAAATCTAAGTATATACTATCTTAACTTTTATACTTGCATCTTTTTCATAGGTTATTTAATTTCAAACTTATTGTTCAAGACGACAAGAAAAAGCAGACTCAACTCGATCCGTAAAAATTCAGGTTACATTACAAATTCATCATAAAAAAAATTGTTAAAGCTGTATTAAGATCATTTACAATACGGTTTTATTTGCCATAATTCACAAATTCATCGGTTCTGATTTTCGTCTCTTGTCAAACCCGAAATTATTACTCGTGAACAGTTTTTCATGAAAGACTACCAATATGAAACTCAAATAATCTTATCCATGAAATAAATGATTTCGTGAAAATAATCAACGTCCACGGGACTGTTAACTTTTATAGATAATTTCTGTCTTCTTTTTTTAGAAAGACTGTCCCCAATTTAGAATGCCTCGAAATTAATCTTCGAAAAATATGAGGTCAGGATATTCGATTGGTCATGTGGCAAAGCTAGTCTTTAAAAGTTGCTATTGATCCCAGTGTCCGTACCAGTTGATCTTGGTATTCTATAGTATGAATATCAATTGTATTCCGTTATCCTTGTGCCTACAATTTTATTTGTCAAAACTGTCTGTGTTCATTCTAGAAAGAGAAACAAAATCCTAGACTCCACTACACCATCGTAGAGGTTTGCTTTAATATAAAATAAAATTAGTTCTTGAAGTAACTATGTATATATTATACCACTTTCAATGAGTCTACATAATAGGTCTCGCTACATAAAAGGCAATTAGATCTGAAATAATCCATCCATAAAATAAAGCATACACAACTGTAGCAAGATTTGCAGATAACCTAATCTTTTTGCATTGTTGTTGCTTGATTCAATATATTGTGCAGATGTGAGTATCCACAAAATTTATTTCACTCCTTGTAATCTTGACCAATCAAAAATTCAGTATAAGGTGTAACATGATAGTAAAAATAAAACAGTATACATATGTTGTAAGTGGAAACGGAATTTAAATGGATTTGGTTAGGGTGTAGGTTTATATTACCTTAGAATTGTAATTTTATTAAAGAAAATTAATCCATTCCCACTTACAACATATATATGTAATAGAATTGCGTGTAAAATCAAAGTCGTATAACGCACCTTATAGTACCCCGAGTATATACAGGTAAACTGAATAATATCCCCCTAGGTACTATAAAGTGTGCTATACGGCAATTATAATAAGAGCTGGAATTATTATTATCAGTAAAATGCAGATAGTTATTTCTGGTTTTTTTTTCTTTTTTTTTATAATGAAAAGTGAGGGATGAAACAATGTTTTTATATTTTTATAGGTTGTTATTAGCGAATATCAGATGTCGATCACTTTGAAACCGCCAGCGATGATAGTAATAGTGACCAATAAATTATGCTCATGTGGCTGCTTTCTCACGCCTATAAGACTTGATTGGCTAATTGTTATTCTTACATAAACTTAATTTCAAAGTATAAATACATCAGTGATTCTATAATTCTTTCCGATTTTCATAAAAAACTTAATTCCGCAGCAACCCAGAGTCTATGTGTGTGTATATATATTATGTCCCAACCGACTTTACATAAACCTTCTAACATTGTCGATGTGGCTCAAAGTCTTGAAACTACGTCATTATCAAGTACTCCATCTCCATATCTTCCCACCGAATGTTTACAATGCATCTTTTCTTTCATACCTGAAGATGATGTAGAAAGTTTGCATTCTGCTGTGTTGGTCAATCGTTCGTGGTGTAGAGCTGCTGTTCCATTTTTATGGAAAAAACCATTTACCATTAACTCAGAATTACCATCATATTTCAAAATCGTCCCAATTTATTTAAGCTCAATAAATGTTGATTCTCTATCCACTGAATTTAGAGAATCCTTTTTTCATTTAGATTATTTAATGTCGTGTATTAGTGATGAAAAGAGGTTGACTTTTGATTATCCTAGTTTCCTCAAGGAACTTAACTTTAAAAAATTGTACAAATCGATTTCTGAATGGGCAACCATTAATGGGGCTTTTGTGCCCAGATCTCAATTAAATATCGATTTCGAACTTGAGAGATTATCCTTTATCGATAATGTTCAAGAGAATGTTCAAGAAAGGATAGACCATGAATATACGGATGAGTGGGGTGATCAATCCCTTGTTCATGAATCGTATAATCGTACGGATTTTGACGCGACAAGTGATGTTGATATCTCTCCTTCAGAATCCCATGCTGACTATGAAGAAGCTTGGGAAGAAGATTGTTATCAGTACTATGATGAATATGGTCATTTCGATGTTTCTACTGAACCGGATCATAGCGATCATGGAGAAGAATGGCTGGACATGCCTACGCCTTTTGATATGACAGAAGAAGGTCGAAAACTAATTATTGCCAGAGAGATTTGTATGATGTTAATGAGTAAATGTCATATATTCGACAAACTTATTCTAGATACGCGAGGATTTTCTCGAAATTTGTCGTGTCAGTCAGTAAATTATATATCTTTGCCATGCTTTCCAGGTGCTAGTGAGTGTTTGTCGCATATAACAGAATTTTTTTGTGGCGGTGAATTCTACAAAGGGGATATATTTAATACTATGGCGATTTATTGTAGAAATCTTTATTCTATTGTCATCGTTGATACCTATCGTTCAGCAATAGGATCACTGGCAAATCTCATTTCCGTTCAAAAGAGACTACAAAAATTCAGTTGGACTGGTGGTTACGAAGATTTATCACCCATCATCTTGTCATTTTCCAGTCAACGAGAAAACCTTATCGAAGTCCAATTAGAAAATGCTTTTTTTCGTGATTCCGCTGCTCTTGAAGGACTAGCTCCTTGTCAAAATTTGGAGACTCTTAAAATTGCAGAGTGCCAGCTTACTGCTGCCAATTTAAAACCATTGGTATTTGTTACTTTTCCGCGGCTTCAAGTTTTAGAAATCACGGACGTTCGTGACATATATTATCTGGACCATCATGAAGACAATACACCCCCTTCCGAAGAATTAAACGCAATAATTCGAAGAACAAATGGAACACTTCGTGAAATTCGATTAAATTTAGAATTGCATTTTTATCCTAGTATCATCGACACAATTGCTGAATGTTGTCCAAACCTTAAACTGCTCGCGGCAAGCATAAAAGATGACGAACAAATTCCTGAACTTCTCAGATTGTTAAGTTCATGCAGACAACTTGAGAGTTTAATTATTCATGGTTATAATAGCAATTTTTTCACTGCTGATTATATTTTACCTCAAATTGGGGCAATTGTACCGGAAACTTTACGATATTTGGATCTTACAAAATGGACATTTAAAGCACCAGCTTTAAAGATGTTCTTGTCGAATTGCAACGCAGAATTGAGGTACATCACGTGGCATTGTTTTGTTAATAATAACAGCGATGAATACACAGCAGCAATCGAAAATTACGCACAAGAAAAAGAACTTAAGGTTGGAAACCTACAGGTTGATTATCGCGACTCTGGATTTGGATGGTGTCAATGTGTTTGCAATATCTCAGCGGAACTTGTGGATCATCCGAATCAAATTGAAGAGCTATGATAACATAAACTTGGTAGGGTTTTTTTTGGTTATTTATTTATTTATTTAGAACTTCCATTAATGCAAACATCACTTTTAAAATTTGTATTAGCGACCACATAGTCATCTCTTTCCATTTGTTTTGGATTAAAAAATTTGTTCGCTTTAAATGCCACAATTTTTTATGCAAATTATACCTTACAAAATAAAATCATGTATAGCATGTACAGATGTATTTTCATACAACCGCTTAATTATTTTTTGAGTCTTGAACTAATTTACCCTATTAATTTACTTGTAGAATGTGCAGTAAATCAAAACTAATGACCTAAAAATTTTATATATATTGCAATTGTATTTATGTAAATACTATATATAATTTAAATAGATGTACAGCAACGAATATTCAATATTTTTAGGAGGAAAATTTTGATTGTTGCTTTACAAATAAAGTTACGAAGCCAAACATGAAAATGACGGTGGCGGGATTTTAGACACTATTTAATATAAAATTTTAAAATTTTTTGTGGCCTTTTTTGTCAGCTTTTTTTTAGGGTAGTACCGTATTCCTTCGAAATAAGCACCCCTGGCCTACACTATGACAACTTTGGGCCAGCTTTACAATAATTGTGACCCGCATTACATGCAAAAAAGGGAATATTATGACGGATCCACAACCTATTCCTTGTAATATGATTGGCTAAAATGCATGTGACTTGCTAAAAGTAACCGTATGATTGGCTGATGCATGCTATCGGAATCATTTCCATATTTGGGCATGCAACAAAAATTGTTTTTATGCTTAAATTAGAAAATTGATTTACATTTTAAAGTACTACAAGAAGTATATAGAAAGTTTTATTAGGGTTGTAGGACTCTACTATTAAAAATAATCAAAATCCCTTTTTGTTTTAGAGAAGTTAGAATAGTAATAACCTAATTATTTAAGAAGTCGCCATTATGCTAACTTCTCTAAAACCAGAAATGATTTTGATTATTTTTAATGGTTGAGTCCTACAACCTTTTATATGCTTCTTTTTGGTTTACTCTTCATAGTTTTATTTTTTTTTAAAAAGTAAAATTAATTACATTGACTTAAACAGCCAATCATACGAAAGTCTTCCTATGACAGTCACGTCACTCTGGCTATACCGACATCTGGATATAACGACATCATAGCAATATCTTTTTATACTGACGTTTTTTAAAAAAAATTTAAATGTCATTATAACTCACTGTTTCGACATTTTCAAAAAATTTACTGTCGTCATAACCAGAGTGACGTGTATTTACACGTGTAAGTACGTGTATCAATTACGATATATTTAACGTTTCTGGCTATCGTTTTACTAACTTAGCGCGTGATTAAGAAAAATCTATGTAAATCTGAAAAACGCAGGTAAATTGTTAAATTATCCTAATAACCAATTAAATCATCGCATAAGTCGATATTGCGGAAACCACAGGTACTGCACTGGTAAATAAAAGCATATTTTTTTTTTAAACATTTCCTCTATACTAAACGCAGATTACTATATAAATTACTATAGATGTAAATGCAGCGTTCATCCAAGAAAAATTTTCCCTATTATGTAAATCAACCTTGGAGCTCGAAGTCGTAGAGCTTATCAAGACGAATCTAACGACAATATGATCATTAAAATTGGTCTAGTGTTTTCGAAATGTCATTAAAAAACATTTTTGCAATTATATGTAAACAATATGTAGAATTTTTATATAGTTGTGAAAGCATTTTTTGATGATATTTTGAGAATTACTAGATCAATTTTAATGATATTATTATATTATCTTAATGAGTTTTACAATTTAGAGTTTTAAAATTAATTTATGTAATAAAAATTTTTTTGAATAAATAATATATATATATGTTTTTTTTTTTTTGTATTAAAGTTTTTGCCTTTGGGAAGTGATTTTTATTCAAGTTTATAGAACATGGGTGCCTTCAGGGATTTTCTTACATAGGAGGTTACAGCTAGTTACATGTGCATTTTTGGTGCTTAATTTAAGTAGATCATTTATACATTATTATATAAGTTCTATACTAGATGTTATACCTGCAAACCAACTAAGGCTTTTGTCTATTTAAATTTTTTGTATATGCAATTTATCTTGTATTGTGAAAACATTTTAGAATATCACTTATTTAAGTTCTTGATCCTTATCAGTATTTTTAAGATTATTTTATTCTTAATAAGAAACTTACTAGTCTTTATGTTTTAAATATACTAATCTAGTTTTATACAATATGTTATAATTATTTAATACTTATAGTTACAGAGATTACCTACTTAATTATTATATTATATTATTATTATCCTTATAAAGTTTACTAGAATCTTAGTACCTATCTTTCTCTATCATTCTTTACTAGTCATAATTTAGAACTGATAGACTTTTTAGATTTTTATTCTAGATAACTTAGCATAATGCATTTTAGTATTGTTATCTGATTTATTTGTTTATTTAATAAAAATGTTTTATAGATTTCAATTAGTCTAATAGTATTGTCAAAAATCCATGTTATTTTTTTACTTAAAAATTTCCAAATAGGTTTCTGGCTTCTTAGTTTTTTAATTTTTTATATTCAATAGGCTTATTATAGGTTTACACTAAAGTTTTATTTGATATTAGTTAAATATTTTTCTATGTATATATAATATTACATTTTATATAGATGGCTTAAGTTTTTACTAATAGGTGAGATTCAGTTTGATACATTTAAAATTACAAATTTATAAATCTAACTTATTAACAAAAGACAGTTATTATAATACAAATTAATTTCTAAATTACATTAAAGATAAAATTTGAATATTTGATTTGCCACTTGAAGAATAATAATTTAACTATTACACTAGAATTATTATCCTTATAAATAATATATTTTTTATATTTATATTTATAGTAATTTATATTATTATTTTTATTTTTATATTTTTATTATATTTGCAATTAAAGATATAAGTAACATTCTTTTATTAAGACATTATAAATCGTTTAAATATTTTTAAAATATTTTATAAAGTAATTTAATAAATTTGAATTTGTTACTAAATATGTTATAATTTAGAATGTGTATTTTTCTAAAAGAATATAATTAACTTTTATTTAATATGATATTATCTATATTATAAAATTATTAAAATTAATAAATAAAATAAATTTTTAAAGATTAGAATTAGAATTTAAATTTATATTAGAGTTAGAGATATAAAACTATATATATTTAAAATTACAAGTTAAAAATTTTTAATTAATAGTTCAAAATTAGATTTTATAATAAAATTTTAAAATATTTGTAATTTTTAATTTTTTTCTTAAAACTTTTTTTATTTTTATTATATAAGATTTTGTAATCTGATTAGTTTTATATATAAAGAAGTGATATTACTTTAGGTAAAAATTAATAAAATTTTTCCTAAAAGATAATTTTTAACTAAAAAGTTAAGAGAATTAAGTAATATGCTTGAATCTTTTTATTTCAATAAGGTGTATTAATATTAAATTTTATAAAATATATTAATATATAGTTAAGTTAAAATTATTAAAATTAGAAAACATAGTAATATAATAAAGTAGTCATGTTATTAATCTTCAAATAGCAGGTTTAGAGTTTAAATCTCAGTGTTAATAAAAATTTAAAATTCTTTCTGTATTATAATTAACTGTTTTTTACTATTAGTAAAGTTTAAATATCTGTTACTCATATTATATCAATATGACTAAAAGATTACATATTATTTGTACAATAGTTGTGTTTTGTACAAAGAAATACAAACTTGAATTAAATAATATGAATCTATAATAAGCCTCTATAATTATGTAAATCATAAGAACTAGAAAGACAAAAGCTTATTTGAAAGATCTGAGTAGAAAGATAGCTTAAACTTTTAATAATACTATTGTAAAGACTAGATCTATAAAACAGAATTAGAACTTGTAAAGTTAGATGAAGACAAGTTAGTTTTTGGAAAAAGGTCATTATAATTAGTAAGAATATTAAGATCCATTTTAAAAAAAAAAATTATATGTAAAAGAATATATAAATCAGAGATATAGTTGTATTTATCTTTTTAAGCTATCTGAACTGAAAGCTTAAATTAAATACCAAAGTAGTAGGAATATATTATAAAGTAAATATTAGAGTTAGTGTAAACTCTACAAAGATATAGCAATTTAATAGTACACTCTAACTACAAGTATTAGTTTCAATTATAGCATTTTTAGATTAATTATAAAAATAAGATATAAAGATTTTAGAAGGTTTAATACAAGATCAAAAATTCTTTATATGACTAAACTGCTTTAAAGACTTAGTAACTATGTTATATTTTTATTTTTATAAATCAGAATTATTAATATATATAGATAGATAGATAGATACAAAAACTAAAATGTTTAAATAAAGAACTTACAAATATGATAACTAGTATAGAACCTTTATATAAACTATTTAAATTAAACAATAACTAAAATTATATAAGTGGCTTGTTGTATACTCTTTTTATAGCTGTCTTCTATAGTTGTAACACATCTATTAGCTAAATATATTATCAATAAAATCCTGAATCATAAATACTTATCTTAATATTTAATATATATATATATTTTATATATAAATTTATATATATATTGTTTTTTTTTTTTTATATTAATGGTGGTGCC